GTGTACACATACATACACACAAATACTGTATACAAATATTTGCACAAGCACAAACACACACGCGTACATGCACACGCAAGCACGCACACACACATGCACAACATATACTGTATACACATACATTCACACACACAAACACACACACACACACACTTACACTCACAAACATATACACACATAAACATGCACATATGCGCACAAACACACATGCACGCACACACAAACACACACACACACATGCACACACATACTGTATAGACATGCGTGCGCACACACACACACACACACACACACACACACACACACACACACACATACTTATGCACGCGCGCACACACACACACACACACACATATATACATACATGCATGCACGCACGCACGCACACACGCACATATGCACACACACACATGCACACACACACACATGCACACTAGGGATGGGAAGATTAACCGATATGTATCGATACGCGGTCATGCGCGTGCACGATGCGAGTGCATCGGTTGAGCAGCAGAGGATGAATGAAATTTTGGAAGCAAATCGAGATGCATCGGTTTTTGCGAGATGCATCGATTTTTCCGAGATACAGCTTATATTTTTAATATAGAATGTATTTTTTATTTATTAACAAGTGTTGTCAACCTGTTTTTGGCGCATAATTTAATCGACCTACTTAAAGTAAGCCTAACGGATTTGCGGATGTGCACACACTACAACTTTTTCAGGTGTGCGGATGAAGCTAGTGGAGCGCCCTCAGAAAGCGCGAGAAGCAAAACAAACATTTTATTCCCCACTGAGTTTTAAATCTAAAGTATGGCAACATTATGGATTTAAGGATGGACGACATGACAGGACAGATGCAATTTGCAAAAGTGTGCCGCGCATCTGTAAAATACGCGGGCAGTACAACTAATCTGATATCTCACTTGAAGCGGCGCCGCGGTGTTGTTGTGAAAGCTCCATCTTCCAGTGGACTTCTATTCTGCCACCCTATGCACGGATATAACTGAGGACAAGCGGGCGCTGATGGAGGTGTCGCGGACATAACTGAGGATGCGGGTGGTAAGGGGGGGTGTTGCGGACGCCGCCCTCTCTATACTGCCGCCCTAGGCGGCCGCCTAGGTCGCCTCTATGGACGTGCCGGCCCTGTTCATCTGCAAAGATATTCAGCCTAGTGTCACGGAGAACGAAGGTTTTGAACAACTCCTTCTGTTAATTTTTATTTAATTATAATAATAATAATAATATTAATAATATAATGATAAAAATAATTGGGTGTCACGGTGGCACAGTGGGTAGTTTGACCACCTTACAGCAGGGTGTCACGGTGGCACAGTGGGTAGTTTGACCACCTTACAGCAAGAAGATTGCTGGTTTGTTATATTTTTATTAGCCTGTTGTTTACAGTGACAGTGATGTTTCAAAGCAGCATAACACTGCTAGTTCACCACCTTAAGTTTTGAATATTCAGTGGCAAAATATATCTTTGTAAAACTTGTTTTACTTGTTTCATTCTGTTTATCTTGAAAATACTTAAATAATATGTGCTATATGTTCTAAAATGGCCCTCTACTGTAAACTGACACTCTGGCTCTGAGAGAAGAGCCAGTTTGTAGAAAAAGTCTTGGTTTTGCTTGGTTAATAAATAATCAAACTCATTCAATGGCACAGCATCCTCTTTCACATCATCTCATAAACTTGATCTAATTAGTTAGTGCTGAATTATCGCATTGTATCGTGATATGGGTGTAAATCGTATCGTGTCGCATCGCAATATGTCACAAATGTATCGCTAATATATCGGATCGTATTCTTTGTATCGAGATGCGTATCGGATCGGCATTATAGCTTAGATGCCCAACCCTAATGCTAATGCACACGCATACATGAACATATATGCGCACGCACACAAACAAACACATGCATACATACACAAACATGCACACGTTAAAGCTTAAACACCCACCCACACACACACACACACACACACACGTGATTATGAGTGACGAGTGTGTTGGTTGTATGCACATTCACCATCATGTTTTGACTGAATGAGAAACTCAAACTCATTAGCATAAGATCAACACAAACAGCCCTGAAGACTTCAGATCTACAACGGCGTACTTGATAGCATAGCAACTAACCGCGTCTTCAGCCAGATCGTCTGCTGCAGATGGAGACGGTGTGTCCATCACTGCCTCTGCAGGCGAGTGCTCCTCTCCAGCGCCGAGGATTATGGGTAGTCTGCGCTCGCTCTGCGGCGCTGCTGGAAGGATCTTGATCTGCAATGGCGGAGGAGCGCTAGCGAGCGTCTGTCGTGGTTTGGCCTGCAGAGGGGGCGGAGCCTGCATCTGCTGGAGGCGGGGTGGAGGGGGCGTGGCCTGCATCTGCTGGAGGGGCGGGGGTGCCCGCTGAGCCTGCAGGTGCTGCTTGGAGATGATGATCTTGGTGACGGTGGGCGGGGGCGGGGCTGGAGGCGGAGCCGGGGGTTTGTGGGCGCCGGTGCGGGAGCGCGTCGTCACCTGCAGAGTTCATTTCGACAACACATTTTGATTAAATGTTAGTGTGCTGGAAAACAAACGGCTGTTGTGTTTATTGTTTAAACGCTACAGTATCAATCTGCACCTCTATCCAGGGTCCAAAGTAGGCCTGGGCTACTATAGTGAAGGATATCTGCTCTAACTGTAAAAGTAAATAAATTGCTAAACACTCTTGACACATGAAATGGCCAAGCCTGCAGCCCACAACAAGGTGTAAAGTTATTGCTAGGCCCACACGGAATCTGCGCGCGCAGAATTCTGCAGATTTTTCAAAGAATTTCCGCAGATTTCTTAGCCCATTATTAATTCTGTTTATTTACTTGATTGAATGTGTAAATCTGAATTTATTCAGTTTTTATTCAGTAATTTATTCATTTTAATTTAATATATTAAGCTTTTAGTTATGATACTCCGCTGGATACTTCCAAAGTAATTCTGCAGAAATCCGCAGATTTTTACCAAAATTCTCAGCAGAAATAGCAAAAAACGTCCGCAGATTCCGTCTGGCCCTAGTTATTGCATATCAAATTTAACAAGCCGTTTACTACTAATTTGATGTAATTTTGCTCACATGGATAATTGAATNATTAATTAGATGATGTCATTACGCTGCTGTGCCGTCAGCCAATCGTTGCATTGCTGATCATGATTTCGAGGATCGATAGATCTGTCCTTCACAACACACGCAGCGATCTCAGATCAGTTCATCCAGACATTCTAATCTGATTCGCAAACTTGTTTG